ATTCAGCCTCCTGTCCTTTGAAGGTGCAGAAGAGTTGCCGCTGAAGCCAACAATAGCTAAGTCTCTGCATCACTGGCAGGATGTTGCTGTAAAGGTTACAGAACTGACTTCTCAGTGACTAGACCTAAAGCTGAGAGTACAGGAGAGCTGACCTTGGAAAATTTATCTCATCCTGTCTGGAGTCACACAGAACCATTTGCCAAATTTCTTAATATAAAATATTTCACGTCATGGGTTGACAGAGTTCCTTTCTTACCCTTCCTTCCGTCCACACCAAATCCGATAAGCGACTGCTCTCTTCTCGATGGGAGAAAACTCAGAGGATGAAGATCCGGTCACTTTATGTGCTAAAGACAGAAGTCCCAGCTTTTTACTGTTGAAACAGGAAACACTGTCAGATCCTTCTGGAGAATTCTATTGTTACATTAGCAAATACCACCTCTGCCCAAGGTGAAAATGGCAGAGGGCATCTCTCTGCCACATGCAGTTCAAAGAAACTGGAGATGAAGGAGGCAAAGGAAATCACAGCTCTCCATGGCCTAATGCAGCGCTGCCTCGTTTTATCTTTTTTTGTCCAGTTTCTAGTTTTGTTCAGTTTGATTTTTGGGTGTCAGAGAGGCAGCTGCAGTATTGAACTTACTTTCTGCTCCTTGTCAGAACATTTTAATTCTAATTAGGCATCAAGCTTTTCAACTCAAAAGAACCTACATTTTTCTCGATGGCTACAAGAACCGCAAAACAGTCAGCGTTCCCAACCTGCGTCTAGCTGCGAAACAGCCGGACAGATCTATATCTGGCCTTCAGTCCCCTCCAGCCTCCTCAGCCACCATTCTTTCCTACAGCTTCTCACAGTACACCTAAGCCAACCCCACATCTAGTTTGCACAACCAACTCCGCTGCTGCCAGGCATGCTGTTCTCTATCAGCAGCCACGTGCGAGTTAGCGGCTGCAGCAGCGTCACTCTCTAATACGTGGTACGGGCATGCCGTGCTCCAGGCGACCAACTGGCTACACCAGTTCTGATCTACGGCTCACCACCCCTACCCCCTCCCTTTCTTGGTCTCTTTTTTTTATTTCTTTACACTAAATGCATGTTTTTTGCTGATCCAGAGTCAAGTTTGGAGGGACAGCCCTCCAGGCAGCATAGGGGAGTTCAGCAAACCGTAACTGCATGCTCCACGCTGCTTTATCTCACGTTTTGCATTTTGGACGACACAGAACTTCTAGTTCCCGTTTTGATAACCAGTTTGTTCTGTAGCTAGGAGACACACCCTTTCTTTGTAAATGTTACGAATCGGGCATATCTGATCCATTATTCACTAACTGCTGCTGCTTCCCACTTCCATCTCCTATTAGGAGGTAGCTCTCATGCCAGAAATGTCACGGCGGTGTCATGTGACAGGTGGTATTGATTTAGCTAAGTTGGGTTTTAATGTCACTCTTGTTCAGTGGGAACACATGGTGAGCGCACACCGAGCCTCAGCAGTGTGGCAGATCAGGACAAGAGCTACCAGCCAGCCCTGCACTGGGCTGTAGGGCTCTGGAATGGCATCAGCACTCTGCTGCAGACCAGGAAATTTGATTATTATTTTCTGCTCCTATCTGCTAAATTATCACAGTTAAAATTTTGTTCATGATTGTAACTATTAATCCTAAGACTTTGCTGTAAACCTAAAACGAAACCTGAGAATCAAAGTCAATGAGAATGGAAGTGACTTGCCCAGTATCACATGGTGAACAATCAGAAGCAGAATCCTGGTCTGTCCCCTCCATCTTTTTCACCCTTTTAAAAAAAGATACCCTCTTTTGGCAGAATAGCTGCCAGTTTTGGAAAGCTGCTCACAGCTTATAAAGTCTGATACACAGAGGCTTTGTAAAGTAAAGCCCAGGAAATATATGCCCAGAACAAGCTGGCATTACCCAGCCGCAGGTGCCGTTATATACAGTGTTCTGTTCCTGCCATTCGTGCATCCTTAGTGACAGCTTACTGACTGTAAAAAATCCTTCCAAAACACCAAATTTAGCTGTGACTGAGGACACAGCTTAAACATTAGGTATTATAATATAAGGAATCTCTGCCACCAAGGATGTTTGCTACAAAAAGCTTAGACTGACCCACAGTTACTGCTGCTGCCAGGCTCAGAAACAGTGCATTCACTGGCCTGACATGACTCAAGTCTCCAAAAGATTTTTTTTATTTTTTTAACTTGCTCTCTGAAAGGAGGTAGTCTGCCAAGAAGTCAACCAAGGCCCAACCCTATGCCTGATAAACATCTCTCTGTCTGGATTTCCCAAGCTTTTGAGAAAGTTAAGCAATTCTCACTTCACAATGTTTGCAACTCTCACAGAAAGCTATTTCTATATTTAACATATCAGCGCCCCATGCTATGAAATGGAGCTGAGGGCTAAAGTAGCAGATCAACCACCACCCCCCATACATTAGTCAAAAATAAAAACTGTCACTCCATCTATGAAATGTCACAAAGCCTGGAGTGATTGTTTATTCTAAATGCTATGGGCACAGATCTTCAAAGTGTTTTTGAATGACTATAATTACTAAATGAGCTCAAGAAAAGCAACTCAAGAAAAGCAACAAAAATGACAGCAACTGCCAATTAATAAGACAGCCATTGTGTGCAGGGAGATTGCTGGCCACTGAGGCAATTAATCCATTTGGTTTGCCAGGGCAGAAGGTAACATTCTTCCACCGAGTCGGAGGTAACCAGAAGCTCAGTGTAGTGCTGGAGGCACTATGCTCAACGGTCACGCGAGATATCACAAAAGGTGTTAGCAGTTACAGGATTCAGTCTCAGTTCTGGCAGTTCATCCTTAAAAATGACAAACCACCATGAAACGTCAACGCACAAAAGTTAAATAGCATGTTTCTGAACTGATTTCCTAGCAGGCTTCCTTGTAAAGGAATTGCTGTTGACTTAGAGGGGTGGATATTTTCTTGGGGGCAAGCTATCACTAGTAGTTCCCTTTCAGGTCTTTCCAATTGAACTTCTAATTTATAAGTGCCAAAAAGTTACAGCCAACACATGGCTGATAGCAAAATTCAGCTTTAAACTTGTCTGCAATGATGCACCAAGTCTTTTGCAAGCTGGAAACAAAATTTTATTTCATAATTCATAATGGGGAAAATGTTATAGATGATGAAGCATTAATGTTGTATCATTCCAGTATCTCACACAGAAAAAAAAAATTCCAGAACTACATTCAACCTCTGCTTTAAGAGAAGAGCTCAGCACTGAAATGCCTGCAGGGAAAGTAGTAAACAATTAGAATTAGAAAATAATTTGGTGACACAGCATTCACTAATGAAGCACAGTGAAATGTCAAACATTAAAGTTGAAAAACTTCTGGGAAAAGTAGGAATGTCCATAAATGGATTGCTACAACTATACATTTCTATAAAGTTCAAGGTAAGTAACATGTTCACTCAAACAGAATGAGCATATCGTGTAGATGAGTAGCTAGAAGAAAAAACCTGTACTTCATAATGTAATCACTCGTTTGATCATCCATAAGTGAATAGCATACTAAATTGCAAACATCCTGTTAAATGAACAGAAACATTTTATGTAAAAAATGTTAACTGTCTTCATTAACACAGCTGTTTTTGTAAAGAACAGAACAATTCTGAAACAGAATTCTGAAACTTTGGGATGCGTTCAAAGAAGCTGTTGAATTTTCGTAAAAACTCAACTGTCGTGACAAACAGTTCTTCCCCTAAGTCTTCCTCTCATCCAGGGCTGCTGTGGAGATGGCCAGACAGACAGGCCTAAAACACCCATCTAGTGGTGCAAAACAGCAATAGAAATGGCACAAGAACACTTGGGGGTCATCTGCTGCTCCTCACTTCCTCTGTGTGAAACACTAACACCTAAACACCAACACTTTCCAAAGACAGACTCCAGAAACGACAGCACAGATGCAGAACGGTTTGCTTTTAGCTTAACACAAGCACTTAAAACCAGACTTTATACTGTTACAACAAACCTTGCTTTACTGCAGGCTCTTCATTTTTTCTAGCAGTAGCAGTGTTTTTAAAATATTCATTCTAGTTTATTTACTCTCTGCTTTAGTGTTGTGACCTCTTAAGAATACAAGAACACTCTTGACCAGAAAAACTTGTCTCAGAAGGTAAAGGCTGAAGGTATTTTATTATTTTTTATAAAATTAGTTCTCTCTTGAAGACACCAGCTTCCTTTGCCCTCATCTTACAGTGAAAAAAATGTTTGTACAGGTGAGGTCTATACCGTACTGAGAGTACTGGGAGTACAGTTCTATGGTGCCAGGGTCACAGTGTTTTCTTGATGCAATAGCATCAACATAACAGACAATGAGTAAGTGAGAACATTTGTGCATACAAAAAGGGAAGCAAACATTGCAACAGCAAGCAACTTCAGCCCTTCTTTAGGAAGTCTAAACTGCAGAAGACTGCGAAGTCCGAAGTCCCAAATACCCATCTGGGAAAAAGGTAAGCCTGAGAATAGTTTTACCTTGTTGACACTCTCTGAACCTGATCCAGGCAAGCAACTCAGTGGTAGCGTTCTCTTCCTACAACCCTACAGCTGTGTATGTACATAGCTTTGTAATTAAATATTCTGTTGGCAGCAAGGTCCTGCTTTAGTACAGTGAAGCTGTAAAGACAGGAAAAATTGTAAGACTTTCACTGTTACTTACATTCGTATTGAGTACATGCCTTTTAGCGGGTGTAACATTTGCCACAGCCACATTAGAAACAGGACTGTATCTATCTGAGGAACTTGTTAGCAGCTCAGGGCAAAATTGCTGTCTTTATCCCAGTTCTCCTCTCAATAGGCAACAATATTAACTAAGTAAAAAAAGTAACCAAGTATCTAAGTTTAGAAAGCCTTCCCCATGAAACGCTTCACTGAATCCAGGGATTGCACAAAAAAAAAAAAAAAGATGCAAGGGTAGGCCTTGGACACCCTCTTTTAAAAGGCATGATAGGTGGCAAAGAAATTGATTGCTGACAGTTATCATACCAGCTGAGCTTTCCAGCTGCACTCTGGCAGCTTAAAAAAAAAAAATCATTTTAGTTTGGGGAAAATTCTGATAAAGAGAATCATGCTGATGAATATGAAACAAACTACAATTAACATTATCCATAATAGCCAGTTGACCGATTTCTTTGCATGCTGTTCAAGGCGGTCAGATTCATCCTTGAGCTTCTCAAAGTTCTGGTCTGCCATCCTGAGAGAATGCGATAGTGTCTGGGGAGCAAAGAGAAGAAATGGTTTCAAACTCAAGATTTCAAAGTTCTGACCTCTGTTTCTTCCAACAGAGAAAAGGTTCAATTGCACTATAGAAGCAGATGGATATTGCCTCCAAGTCTCCCCACTGATCTTCCCCGGAATCAAGTTACAGATATAGTATTTAATGTATTAGCACTTTAATCTTCTGCGTTGCAAAATTGAGAGGTTAGAACTTTAACATGCGCTACCTGGTTATCTTGTTTTATTACATTCTGTGCAGCCAGAGTGTTGTTTTTGAGACTGCGAGCCAAACTTAGCATTTCTTCAGCTAACTTCTCCTGCATATCCTGATGGTGCTGCAACACAGCATCCAGCTCGACTGCTGACTGCTTCTCATCAGATGCAAGGCCTCTGCAAAGAGGATAAGTAAAAATATTGGGGATTTCTACTTCCTTGTGCGTTGATCTCCCAAGGTCTCCCCAGACTCTGCAACTCTGACAAGACAACAACAACAGTTAAATCAGCTGAAGTCATTATATTTAAGTTTCTACCAGCAGGCACTTCACCCAAATGAAAGTACACCTGTGATTTAAAGGTCACAGGGAAAGCGGTTCCCAAAACACTAAGCAGGAGAATAAGAAATTTTGACTTACTTCCGCTTCCTTATGTTTAACTCCTCAGAATCTGGAAAAAGAGTTAAATTTGTGTCTTAGCATGTTATAAATTCCCATGCAATCATAGACTGAAGAAACAAGCTTTCTGTAAGGGATTTTCAGATGTCCAAATCCTGCTTGGCCCTCTACCCCAGGGAATGTGGGTTTCAAAAGCCTACCTGCTTTCCACAAGGAAAAGACAACACGTAACATCAAACGTACAGCGGAGAGAAAAAACAGATGAATCATATCCCTGAGGGCATGGTTTAGGCCTGTGTGTCTTGGTGTTCTCTTTCAGGACACGTTAGATTGGCCTAGCTCCAGCCACTGTAACAGTAGCTATGGAAACCGCAAATTAATTCCTACCAGTTCCCTACATGAATAACACGGCTGTATATTTAAGAGGAATTGAACAACGCCTACTCTAAGCACCTAAAATCACATGATTTGCTCAGAGCAGAAGAGAACACGAGCAAAGGTACACTGTCTTTACTAATTCTATAATTAGAATGTCTGTTTCTGCACGAATTCTAGAGAAATAGGTTCCTGCAAGTCCCTGCTACCATAATGATAACACTCAGGCTTTAATCTGTTAGGGTTTTTTGGTTTTGTTTGTTTTTAAAATCTGCTGTCTCAAAAAGAAGTGTGCTACTAAATTAAAAGTACACTTTGGCCTGTCTCTAATACCTGACCTCCTTCTTTCTCTTCCTGTAAGACTCAAGTTACCTAAAGTTAGAGAAAACAACAAATTAAACTTACCATCAATAGCGAAGGGGTCCTGGGAGGCAGAAAGAGAAACAAAACAGAAGATTACAAAGGGCCAGTGATAAGACAGTCCTCCAGGCCTAGCATAGTGCCTGTGGCCAGTATTTAGACTATCCAAATCAGAAAAAGGCAACTCCCCATCCAGCCTGGGACACATCTGAGGCATAGCCACCAAAGGCGGCTGAACCGAACAAGAGGCATTCTATCAGAACTAGCAGTAAAGAAGCAGCAGCACCAAAACATACTGTACCAAGCAGCTCGCTCCTCATTTTGCCTGTGCAACGAGCCTTTGTCTGCAGATGAACTGTTTTAGTAGCTGGGGTTCTCTCTTTGGTTGTCGTAGGGGTACGTCCAGGGGCCAAGAACTGATTTGCCAGAGCTTTTTCAGTTGATGAGGTCTGTGAGTAGGAAGAAGCAATGAAAAGTCATGAATATCACATTCTGCCGTGTGAGACCACCTGGATGTGTGACCAAGAGGGATGCAGGGAGCACTTACACAGCTGCTTCCCACAGAACAGCAGCACTGACTGTACCCGCACTAATTGCTCATTGGCATTTCATAGCTCTCCGGATGCACATGGTACCATCCAAGAGAGGCGTTAGGCCTAAAGCACAGTACCTGCCCCTGTATCTCGTGTCAAACAAGTGTGAAGGATGTAGGCAAGATGTACTTTGCTTTCAAAAGGAGGAAAGAGGTTTCAGATTTCATACAATACCCCCTTTTAACAAAATACAAAAATCCAATACACTTATTAACATTTTTACAAGGACTGCCTAATATTTTAAGTAGTTGTATTTTGAGACATAAGAGAAAGACAAACATAGGAACCAGGCAACGAGGTGAATATAAGCAGAGAATACTTAAGCCTTTTCAAGCTGAACTAGTAGATCTTACCAATTTTTCAGCTTCTAAGAGTCCCTTTAGGAAGTCCACTTTGCGGGAGTATTCATTCAGCAGTTCTGGGGCAGGCTTGCTATTAGAATTGAAAAATAAAAATATGAAAACCAGACGTGATCAGTGTTTTCTCTTGTTCAGATGACTTTCCAAATAAAATAAAATAAACAACCCCAACAGCTGGTTCTTCAAAGAAGCATCTTTCAACAGAACTAAAAAATGCAAAGCCCCTGCAAATCACCTTTTCCAAGGCACGGCAGACCCTGACTGCTTGGGGCACAAGCACTGTCCAAGGCCAAAGCTGACATGCAGGGAAACGTGCCCGAGAACACGTCAGAGTTGCACAGCTCCTCGCAGGGCTGTGTCGTAGCTGCTTTTAGGCACAGTTTCTCCCTCACCAACAGATATTTCCACAGGGAAGCATACGCACTACTGCGGTGTTTGTGGGCTATGTCTGTCTTAACAGACTATGTTAAGACCACATCAGACTGGTGAAACCCTGGCCCAGGGTGCCCAGAGAGGTGGTGGATGCCCCGTCCCTGGGAACACCCCAGGTCAGGTTGGACGGGGCTCTGAGCAACCTGATCTAGTTGAAGATGTCCCTGCTCATGGCAGAGGGGTTGGACTAGATGGCCTTTACAAGTCCCTTCCCACCCAAACTGTCCTATGATTCCATGTTTTTATGTCTGAACAGACTTACGAAATCACAAAGGCCACCTGCCCGCCCCAGGATTTCAGCGCGCGGCTCACCTGGACTGCTTCTTCAGCTCTCGGAGCATGTCTTCAAGGGCCGCCACATACTGAGGAGACAAAAAGGAAAAGCTTCTAAGCGACAGCTTTAAAAAGAAATATTCTGTCTGTCAGAGCTTGCTGCACGGTTGAGAACGAGGCTGGAGTTTTAACACGCCATAGCACTCGCTGCCTCAGTTTATTTCGAGAAGGCAAACCGCGCTGCTGCGGGGACACAGAAGGGCTGGAGACTCCCGCGCCCCGCGCTCTCCCCGGCCGGTCTCGCCCCGCA